CAATTGTTGTGTTTGTTAAAATTTACCGGCAGATGTTCAGCAGACTGTTACTCTGAAGAAAGCACATGTTGGTTTTTAGAAAAGTACTAGAAAGAAATGAGAGATCAGGTCCGTTTTCTCTCCCTTCACTCAGTTAAACTCATTTCCTGTTGGTGAAAGGCTTTCTTACAGAAGGGGAGGAGTTTCCCTGCAGTGTGAAGGTGAGAACACAGGAGGCGGAGCTTCAGTTCAGCAGCTCCAGGTAGGTGATGGGTACTTTGCCCTTCTGGTTTCCTCTCTCCCCCAGCAGCCAGTCTGAGTCCATGTCGGGAACAGAGCTGACGGTGATCACCTGGAGGGACAGGAAGCAGCAGGTTAAACACGTCAGGTGATTTTATTGGACGGAGACAGGTTTTAGTGGATCGTTTTACGGCAGGATGCAGGTTGAACCGAGGTTTGGTGGTGAAGCTGCAGCGATGCCATGTTTCTACTTCACATGTTCCTGACTACAGTCCCTCAGCTCCTCCACAGGACTGACTGTTGATGTCTAATCCAGGCCTGTGGGTCAGTCCTACACACTGTTGTTCAGATACCTACAACAGGCTCCGGTCCTTTGAAGTGAGCCTGACTGCAGCTTTTGAAAAGTAATCAGCTCTCTGGTTACCATTAATGTCCTTTATGTCCTGGTACTGGTTCCCATCGAACAGTAACACTGTTACCTCTCCCTACTTCACTGCTAATAACAGTAGGTGAGCAGCCTGAGCACGCTAGTAGCTAGCCTCTCTGATGCTAAGGCCAGCTTTTCCATGCTAGTTGCTAGGCTCTCCAATGCTAACACCAGCTTTTCCATGCTAGCCGCTAGCCTTTCTGATGCTAACACCAGCTTATCCATGCTAGTCGCTAGCCTTTCTGATGCTAACACCAGCTTATCCATGCTAGTCGCTAGCCTTTCTGCTGCTAACACCAGCTTATCCATGCTAGTCGCTAACCTTTCTGATGATAACACCAGCTTATCCATGCTAATAGCTAGCCTCTTCGACGCTAACACCAGCTTATCCATGCTAATAGCTAGCCCCTTCGACGCTAACACCAGCTTATCCATGCTAGTCGCTAACCTTTCTGATGATAACACCAGCTTATCCATGCTAATAGCTAGCCTCTTCGATGCTAACACCAGCTTATCCATGCTAGTCGCTAGCCTTTCTGATGCTAACACAGCTTATCCATGCTAGTCGCTAGCCTTTTTGATACTAACAATAGGTTATCAATGCTAGTAGCTAGCCTTTCCAATGCTAACACCAGCTAATCCATGCTAGTCACTAGCATTTCTGATGCTAACATCAGGTTATCCATGCTATTCTCTAGCCTCTCCAATGCTAACACCAGCTTATCCATGCTAGCTGCTAGCCTCTCCGATGCTAACACCAGCTTATCCATGCTAGCTGCTAGCCTCTCCAATGCTAACAAAAATGAATAGTCTCTTTCTCATTTGCCAGCTCCAGCCCTCAGTTAGCGGGCCCGGCTTATCATTAATCAGATCAATAGCTGGTTTAGGAATAGATACAGCCTCCTGCTGCAAGGATGTAGCAACCACTGGTTGCACAATAGTCTTAACTTCGGCCCTCATACTGCACCATAAGTAATGAGATGAGCTCTAATAGCAGCTTGGCTATCTGTTAGGATGAATACTTCCTTCTGTGTACTCTGAAGCTCTTTGAGAGATGCCACACCCTGTGACTGTGTCTGTCTCAGCTTGACATACAGCTGCAAAACAACCTACTTGGTATCTGTACTCTCTCTCACTAACGTACAAAATCAGCTCCCCTGAACTTGAACCCACCTCACTAAGCAGCAACTTTAGGGTAGCACTCAAACGACTACGGCCCAGATCATGATTTTATTTATTTACAGCAATTTATTTTAGTCACTGCATCTTTTCTAGCAGTCAGGGTTATTTGTCAGGCAGGGCTGCTTTTTTTAATTTATGGTAATTCTCACAGCTCAGCTGTTAATGGTTTCTGAATGTAAAACTCTGATTTATCACTGGTTTAGAGGCACATGTTGGACAGAACTTTGGCAGACTAAAACCAGACTAAAATCAGACTGAAGAGTAAAAATGAACAGATCAGTGAAGAAGATCTGAAGGATCTGTTCTCACCTCGTCAGCCAGCAGGGAGAGCTCGSTACTGCTGGCGGCGTCGTAGTCGTACAGGACTCGGGCTTTGCGGCTGCCGTTGGAGCTGCGCAGCTCGTTGAAGCCCCCCGACACCGAGGAGGAGGAGCGGCCCCCGGACACGCTGGGCAGGGAGGCCGACACCGGGATGGTGGGCACCGAGACACCGGCCCCGCCCGACACCGATGACTGGTTGTTGTTGGAGAAGGATGAGGGGAAACTGACGGGACAAAGCACAACAGGAACGATGTAAGCGAAGACGAGCTCTGAAGAATCCCAGACAAAAACTGGACCCACCTGCCCAGCTGCTTCTGCAGGTCCACCATGTACTGGTAACACTGAGCGTAGTAGGTGGTCTGAGCCTCCACGAAGTCATTCAGGCAGCGTAGGTGGTGGGCCTGATGAGGCGGGAGAGGAGAAAGGTGTCAGATAACAGTGACTCTGCATCACTTCCTGCTTTAGAGCTTCACTTCCTGCTTTAGAGCTACGTACGTGACTTCACTTCCTGCTTTAGAGCTACGTACGTGACTTCACTTCCTGCTTTAGAGCTACATACGTGACTTCACTTCCTGCTTTAGAGCTACATACGTGACTTCACTTCCTGCTTTAGAGCTACATACGTGAGTGCTGCCGACGCCCTCCAGCAGCAGGCGGGTGATCTCCGCCTGGCGGTCGAACTCACTCTGCGTCATCCTCAGCTCCTGCTCCGCCTGAGGAAGAACAGGACTTTAAAGGACTTATTTTAGAGGAGTGTGTTATAAATCCAATCATCTATTAAAAAAATCTACTTTCATTATTTATTACTAAATCAAACAACTAAATGTTTGGGTACGATGTTCCCATGAAGGAGCTTCTAGGCTTTTAGTGTGTGTGTTCATATCAAAGATGGCTCCCACATTCCACTCACCTCTGTCACTTCCTCCGCTCACATCTGCGGCTTTGTGTTTCAGAAAACAGTGACAGAAGTTAGAGCTGCAGCTGCTGCACAGCCACAACAACAACAACAACAATAACAACACACTGTAGGAGGCGGTGGAACCACGACAAAACAACAGTACTGCACATTAAAATATGTCATCTGTTGGGTTTCTTACAACCAAACCTGATGACATCATCATCTTCATCATCTTCATCATCATCAGGTAATCAAGGACTGAACAGAGATCGTGTTAAACTCATATCATGAGTTTGGTGTAATTAAAGAGGTTTGAACAGGTTACAGAAATACTAAAAAGACAAGATTTAACAAGAGAAATTGTATTTCCTGCAAAAATGCAGCGTGATTAATTAATGAAGCTGAAAACTTTTCATAACAAAACTGTTGTTTGATCAGCTGACATTTGATCTACGTAGTAAAAAAGAATTAGAAAGACGCACAAAAGGGTAGAAAGTCTGAAAAGAGCAGAACAATAACAGCTAAAAGAAGCTAACAGTGGATGAAACCAGATGAGGAAATGAGTGAATTTTTATAGTTAGCAAAACACAAAAGAAGCACAAAAAAAACTTAATTTGTTTTGAATTAAAAAAAGCTGAAACTGCCTAAAATGGCTTTAAAAGTAGCTGAAATTAGCACAAAAGCATGAATTTCACTAAAAACATAAAAAACTGATGGAATTAGCAGAAAGTATTATAAAAAATTTAATTTGCTTAAAAAAAGGAAGTAGAGAAATGTCACAACGACAGCTAAAAATAAGAATAAAATAGAAGCTGAAATTAGCTGAAGCTGAACATTTGAATATTCTGAAGGTTTTTGTTTTTTGACATTATTTTTGTTTCAATTTATTTTTTGGTAAAAAAATAAAGGGGCAGAAGAATTTTTTGCTTCTTTCTGCTGCCTCTTTTTTTGTGATTTGTATTTTATTTTTGTAAATAGAAT